CCTATCACCCAACTTTTTTGTCTATCAGCCTTGAAAGATTCTTCTATTTACTTACAAGGTGGGATTTTACATTTGCATTGGATCCACTCATTGTTTACAGGAGCCAGTTGCCTCAGAGAGGTAACCTGAGCTACTGGGATGAAGAGTGCCAAGCAGATGGGTGCTAGATGACCCTAGTCAATGTACAAATAAGAAGTGCTGGATGGCCAGTCAAAGTCATCTTGGATAGATGCTCTGCAGTACAAATAGAAGAGCCAGGGGAATCAAAGGTCAAAGATCATAAGGAAAGGCCGTGGTGAATGAGTCATTAGCTTCGTTAGCTTGTGTGGGGGTCGGGGAAGGAGAGACGCCTCCTTGCATTCCTTTTGTAAGGGATTTGTTTTAAAACTGGCATGTGAGAGATTCAAAACTTGACTCTCAGTTACCAAGGTGATCTGTAATACTATACTCATTGAACGTTGTTGTTGGATGCTGTGGAGTCGATTTTCTACTCATAGAGACCCCATGTGACATAGTAGAACTGCCCCATAGGGTTTTCTAGGTTGTAATCTTTTACAGGAGCAGATTACTATGGCTTTCTCCTGTAGAGCTGCTGGGTAGGTTTGAACTGGCAACCAAAAGCCAGCTGAGTGATTAACCGTTGCATCACAAGGGTTCCTTACTCTTTGAATAGAATGGTAGAAATGTAAGAGAATATGAGTCCATTCACTCAACAAACATTTCTTGGACATCCATTAGACACAAGAATCTGTTAGGCAATTTTGGGGACTCTGATAAATCAGATACCAGCTATGCCCTTCAGAAGGTTACAGAACAGTAGGCAAGAAAGTATAAGGGAATTTCCTAAGGACACATAGCAAACTTGGTGGAAAGGTTATGTTTAAAGCACAGATTTCTTAATTTACCATCCAAAGTTGTCTCCACCAAACCATTCTGTCTTGGTGAGATTTAATATTACATGAGAGGTTTTTCTTTTTGTTTTTGTTTTTTTTCGGTTAGTGTTGTTACATGTAAGTTTCAGGAGGACAGAAACTTCTATTTGTTCCCACTCTGGGTACACAATGAACATCTGTGCTGGCACAAAATAGATGAACAGTACATTTTTTAACTGAATGACCATGTACACCTGAGATAATTTAATACCTTACAATGTCTTTTCGCATTTTGTAATAAACGCTTTTAATTTGCATTTAACTTGCTTTACCTCCCACACTTCATAAAGACAAAAAGATGAAAGAGATTAGGATGATGATTTAAATAGCGAAGAATACTTTGCTTTTCTCAGAATCGATTTTTCTTTTCAGAAGCAACTTTAATTTTACTCAAATAATGAAAAGCACACAGGCAGAAGCTATTCAATCCTGCTCTTTGGTGAAAAAAATCGCTATTAGAACTGCTGTAATTTCTACACTAACTCATTGATTCTCTTCCCGCTTAATAAAGCAAAAAGAACCACTTCATAGATTTTCTATGGCTTGTCAAGAAATCAACCCTGTGTCCAAATAATTTAAATAGTTCATGTATCACTTCGACATTTAGCCTAATTGACATTTAACCCAAAGTAGTATTCTCAGTAGCAAAGACAATTTAGAGACATAATTTCCCATTGTTAATGGAAATCTTTGGCTGCTTCTCTAAATGTTCCTCAACAGAAAGTAGGTTTAATTGTTAACTCTGATTGAATTTCCCAAGACACAGAATGGCTTTTCAGTCTTCCCTCAGAAATATGCCAGCCATTTGGGATAAACAGTTGATGATTCTCAGGACTGAAATTCTTCACAGCCTGTAAAATAATTTTAATAATAGTTGTAATAACCACACAAACAGCTCTCATCTTAGTGATTCACAATAGTTGGAGATGGTCTCCAAACTCAGCCATTTGATTTTTCATTCTATTTGCAATTATTCAAGCACTCTGTTGGATCTTTCTGTGGAGCTGGAATATCTACTAATAATGGCCAAAATCTTATACCTGGTGGTTCTCAGGCTCAGCTAGAAGACTCCAGCTGAGCTTCTGTTCCTGGCTAGGAATCAGTAGAGTAGCCTCCCTTGGAGACATTTTATTAACTCACTCCAGGAAGCAATGAGGTGAACAATGAGACTTTGTTCCTCTGTGTCTGATGGTCAGTTGTGGTGTGAAGGGAATCATCGCTAGGCTTTTTCAAGGGACCTCTTCCTTTCCCCAGCCTCTTAAAACAAGTCATTACAAATAACATTGTATATTCACCTTCGTGAAGATGTGAAAGGACTGGAAGGGGTTGGTGAGAACCCAGACTCTCTATCACTGGCCTGGTTCTCGTCCACACTCTGCTCCTGGCCTGCCAACGAAAGTCAATGGCTTTGCTGTGTCCCAGAATCAAAGGCCTCATAGAGAAGTTCATCTCTCCATGTCACAGAGTTTTAATAAGGAGGCCATGTAACAACCGGAGCAAAGAAGGGGGTAGGACTTGGTAAAAGCTGCTCTCTGAAAGGTATAGGAGATCTTTACTTTCCATCCTCTGCCCAACAGCCTCAGACTCACCTCTAATTTCTACTGATACCACCATCCTCTCCTGCCCTAAAAGGTATTTTGACCCAAATTCTGAATGCCAGTTCCACCCTTTTGAAATGGCTCCAAAGGCCAGGTCCTGTCATCTCTGAGTGAGTGTAAGGGCCCTAGTCAGGGCACACTGCCCTGTCCCCCTAACCTCCCTGCACTGCAGTGCCATGGAGCCTACAGTCATTGGTTCTTCAAGAGGAAGCAGCGGTCTGAACTCCTGTGAGGGAGCCACAGATGAGAACAGGCACCTGTCCTGGCCAGAGTTCCTGAAGCCAGTAAGGAGTGGTTTTACAGAGAAGAAAATTCACTACTCGTAAGTGCCTTTCAGTGTGTCCTACAGCACTGCCCTGAGTAGGTTATATTCAAGTGCTTGTGAATTGTCTGATTTGTGCTTGATATTGGCAAGTACCATAGAAGTGAGATAGCAGAAACCAAAGAAACTAGCCTCAAACTCGGATTCCTTATCTTATGCCACTTAAAATCACTCCTTACCTTGGCGTGCATGGCCTCCATCATCTGGTTCCTGCCATACTCTCCAGAGTGCCATTCACTGTCCTTTAGCCCTTCTTCTAGAAACTCTGAACTATTTGTGGTTCCTTGCATACTCTAGGAGCCCTGGTAGTGCAGTGATTAAAGCACTCGGTTAGTTGGCAGTTTGAACCCACCAGCTGCTCCACAGGACAAAGATGTGGCCATCTGCTTCTGTAAAGCCTTTGAAACCCTATGGGACAGTTCTATTTTTTCCTATACGGTCCCTATGAGTCAAAATCCACTCAATGGCAGTGGGTTTGTTTTTTTGTTTTTTGGGTTTTGTACACTCTAGGCCAAGAATTTTCAAACTTTATCTGTAAAGGACCAAGTGTAAATATTTTCAGCTTTGCAGATTGTACAGACTCTGTTGCAACCACTCAACTCTACCATTGCAGTGTGAAAGCAGCTAGACAATATATAAGTGAATGAATGTAGCCATGTTACAGTAAAATCCTGTTTATAAAAACAGGTGGCAGGCAGAATTGGTTGTAGTTTGGGAACTCCTGCCCTAGGCCATTTCTTACCTCTGAGGCTTTTCTCTCACAGGTCCCTTTGCTTGGAATGTCCTTCTACTCACGTTTCCCGTGTAAACTTCTACTTAATCTTGAAAATACAACTCATAAGCCTTGCTTCCTCGGGGAGCTTTCTTTGACCGGTGTATTAGACAATTCTTAGGCACCACCTGAGATCCTCTCCAAAGCACTGACTCAGAGGCCCTTGGGCACTGGTTTTACCCAGCTGCATGGCACAGTCTTCCCAAGAGCACAACCTAACAGTACATCCCCCTCTTACTTGTACCTCAGCCTCCGTCCTCCTGCCTCAGGACTTCCCTGTTGATTCTGACATGTGAGATGGACTCCATGGGTGCCCACATGTGTATAATCCAGATGTGCGGGGAGTTGCCCCATGTGGAGAACGCCTACTCATTCAGCAAGGGTGGATAAATTCTTCTCCCTTCTCCTCCCTGAGATGCAGTCATTTGTATGACCTATCTGAAGATGGACCCACCAAATCAAGCAATCTATTATGCTTGAGACCAAGCAGTGTCCACCTCACTAATGCACCCCTCATGTTGCTCTCCAACTGTTTTCATCCCCTTGGAAGAAGCATAGTTCTACTCTGACACAAGTGAAGTTGTAATGAGTTAGAGTCAACTCCGTGGCAACTAACTTGTTTTTTCCCTATCAAACTGTGAACTCCTTGCAGGCAGAGATTATGGATCACGTATCTTTGTGTCTCCAGACCTCAGCAAGTACATGGCATAAGTAATTTTGAAAAAATATTTGTTAAATAAATAAGCCATACAATGAAAGTCAAGCTACAACCACTCCCAACCTGTCTCTAAAATAAAGAGAAAAAAAATAGAGAGAGAGAGAGAGGAAAACTGAGACAGACAACAAAAGTCAATTGCCCAAACCTGGAAGGAATGTACACTTACTACAGGGCATATAGAGCTGAGTTAGGAAAAATAGTCAGCTGCTCACCAGTGCTTTGCCTAATGAAACACAGAAGCCCCTTAGACCTGAAGGGAGAGAGGAGTTCCATCTTATCCTGTATGCCACCAGCCTCAGAGATTTGGGATTTCTAACAACCAGGGTGGTCATTCCTCTATACATGTGGCTTCTGCTTTTTGAGATGCATCAATAATAAATTCTCTCACCAGCCACTTCCACCCACTCCTTCCCTAACCTATAGCCCCCAACTTTTTCTATTCATTCAAAGATAGGGCAGAACTCCCTCAACGCAATGGGGCAGGAAGTGGTGAGAAAGAACATGTGGTGATCCTCCTACAGACTAGAGAGAATTAAAAAATGTCCTGTAATGCATGGTCTTTCCCGATTTAGTTTTTCAGAGAACTAAGCAGTAAACAGAATAGGAAATGACTTCTCCTCAGTTCATCAGAGTTACATTAAATAAATAAATATGCACCACACTTATGTCTGCAGTACATATACTAAAACTGGAACGATGCAGAAAAGATTAGCATATCCTTGTGGGAAGATGACAGGCAAATTTGTGATGCATTTATATTTTCAATTTATGTTATGTGAATTTTAACTCAATAAATAAATAAATATGTGCTCCTTGACAATGGAAACTGAGCTACGAGTTTATATATATATATATATTATATATATATATATATATATATTAAGAAGTCCTTGAGATGTAAATCTGAAGAGGTATCATAACCAACATTCAAGTGGACAGTGACTATGGCCAAGGGCAATCTACATTCTCTAGAACTATCGCTGTAGTGTAGGAAACAAGAAAAAATGGAAAGTGGTCCTGAAAGTTAGTAGGCCAGAAAAACAGGAACTATTTCATAAAGGAAACATCTCTGAAAATAATTTAATAGAGTAAACAGAAGAAAATTGAAATAATCTTCCAGAATGCAGAGAAAATTTGAAAAGGAGAGAGCTGACATATAGGATAGATGTTCCAACCTTAAAATTATATGGTAGTTTTTGAGAAAGAAACCAGAATATTTGAAATAGAAGCAAACTTTCCTGAGCAGGGATAAAGTGTCCATCATATAGATCAAAAGAGTGTTCCAAAACAAAATCAATTAAAAGAAATACACAGTTAGATATACTTTTGGGAGAAAAATGGATTATAAGAATGTTTTGGCCAATGTGTTAAAAGAAAGAAAAACTTTTGCAAGCTGGATTAAGTGGGCATCCATGGTGAGGATACCAGAGAATCTCATAATCTCATAGAAGTCAACTAATGGCAGCAAAACTAGGCTTCATGGGGAAAATAATCATCATTAAGCAGTTTCTCTCTCTCTCTCCCTCTTTCTCTTTCACTCTCCCTCTCTCTCTCCTTCCCTCCTTTCCTCCTTCTCTCTCACTCTCTCTCTTTCTTCCTCTCTCCCTCCCTTCACTTCTTTCTCTCTCTTTCATCTGTGACTCTTCATTCAAATTTCTCTACAAATTCTCTGCTTACTTATTTGTTTATATGTGGTTCATAATGGTGGCCCCAAATGAAACCTTTGGGGTGTACATTATCTTTGAGCTTAAGCTCCTACAGATAACAAACACTGTTCCCCACTCACAAATTTGTGGCAAAGATCATTGATGGCCCAACTTCAGATAGCTGTTCACCCATGATCCAATTAGCTGTGCCCAAAAGGGCAGGGTCATATGGTAATTAGAGCTATTCCATCTGGGCTAAAAATGGAGCAAATTCTCTACAAAGGGGTTATAGAATGGGAAAAAATTATTGAAATCTGTAGCCCAGATGATTACAAAAATTTGGGGAAGCACCCAGCAGGAAAAATATTTATTGACAATGGAATAACACCTAGTGTGCCCTTCAATGACTCTGAAACATTAAGTATCAGAAGACAACAAAGCACTGTCTTTTGGGTTTTGAAATGGGAAAGGTTGTGACCCAAGAATTTTATATCCAACTAATTAGTCCTTCATATTTTTTGTACATGAAAGATATTTTCAAATGTGCATAGGATTTTTAAATATACTATCCACAAGATGAAGCCCTGGTGGCGCAGTGGCTAAGAGCTACGGCTGCTAACCAAAAAGTTCAGCAGTTTAAATCCACCAGCCGCTCCTTGGAAACCCTAGGGGGCAGTTCTATTCTGTCCTATAGGATCGCTATGAGTCGGAATTAACAGCAACAGGTTTGGTTTTTGTTGTTGTTTTTTTTTAATCCACAAGACATAGTCCACTCACCAAACGCTGTGGCAGGCCCCACAGAGCTTTTGCTGTGGGCATCAGCCTCATATCACATAGAAATCCTGAATGAGGCAATAGAAGAGCACAGCCATGGAGTTCCTGACAGTTTGGCTGGAAGCACTTTTCACTGAGCATATTAATAAGGACTGCCATCCATCTCCAAAGAATCACTCCACCGGGAACAAGATGCCTCACTCACAGCCACTGTAGCTACTGGAGCAATGGACCGTGCCACCCACTATGCTTTAGCGGCGTAGGCCAAAGCCAGCTCCTACCCAGCAGTCAGGTCCCTCCTAACAACACGATAAGACTGGATGGGGCAGGACTGCTTCCTCTATCACCAGTCTGGTGAACATATGGGGGATCATTGCATGTGTCAAAAGCAGTACATTAGGGCCTTGAATTAGGATAAACTGGACTTTTGCTGTCCTTAGGTGGTGCAAAGGGTTAACACTCTTGGCTGCTAACCGAAAGGTTGGAGGTTTCATCCACCCAGAGATGACTTATGAGAAAGACCTGGCAATCTACTTCTGAAAAATTAACCTTTGAAAACCCTATGGCATTTTTTACAACTCTAAACATAAATGAATAAATACAAAAAATTAATAATAACTCTATGGAGCACGGTTCTATCTGACACACATAGGGTCGCCATGAGTTAGGGGAGAGTTGACAACTGGTTTTGGACTCTCTGCCATTACCTCCACTGGGAACTTGAGTATCCAGTTCTGACACTGAGGCATATTAGTTTATACACAAAGCTACAAACAAGTATTCCCTAGTTACACGAGACATGAATCAAAATTAATAGCTCTAGAATATATGTGATAGACTGAATACTCAGTGTTTTATTTCAAGATTTCCATATATTTGAAGTAATAGCCCATATCTGGTTGATTGATGATAGAGCATATCAGTTGGAGATAGATGCTGGCAAAACTACTTTGTCTACAGCCATTGACAAGGAAAGGAAATGTCTGGGTTTACTACATGAACAAGATGTGTCATTCTGGTAAAATCATTAACAGAATAAAAAACAATAATAATAATAATAAAACATTAACAGACTAAATGGTGAATGGGAACCTAAACTGCTGTATCAACCTTCACCTAAAACACAATAAAATATTATTTAAAAAAAAAAAGACTAAAGCCTGAGAGAATAATAATGGTGATGTAATTTACTACTCACTGTATACAAGAACAGTGTGAAGTATTTTCCCTAATTACATCCGTTTGATCTTTCCATAAACCAAAAGAGATATATTTTATTATTCCCATTTCGTAGATAATTAAACTGAGTCTCACAGAGATTAAGTAATTTATCCACAGTCTCATGACCATGGACCAAGCTGAGATTCGCGCTCAGATCCTCTGAAGCCAAAGCCCATGCTTTTAGCTATTTTTAGTCCATCTTCTTCTAAAATATACAATGTTGCTTGGAAAGCAACCAGCTGGGGAAGGATTCTTTTTCACCAAGCCAATTAGTCTAAAAACTGCAAACCAGTTTTCAACTTCCAGGAGCTAACAACAGCAACAAAAAAAGCCCCTCCAAAACATGAATAAGGGGGCTCCCAAAGCAGGTACATTGAAACAGTGGAGAACAAGTAAGTCAAAAACTACTCTGAAGTTTTAAAAGTGCATCTGAAGTTTTTCTCTTACAGTCAGAAGGAAGGATATGCCAAAGAATTAACTGGAAGGATTGCTGCAAACTCTGGCCCCCTGGTAAATATTCCAGGTAGAAGCAATGAGTTTCAGAGACTTTTCTTTGGAAGGTTATGCTCAGCTTAAATGTTCTTAAATTTTTCTTTAATGTTTTCTCACATAGCTCATAGTAACTGAATCAAAAGATGAATGAGTTATGTAGTCATTCAAATTAAGTTTATAAAATAGTTATAGCATGGGAAATTCCTATATTATGATACCATATGAAAAAAATCGATACAAATTTTATACAGTATAAGCTTCAATATGTAAGAAATGCTTAGGAAAAAACTGTAAAGAAATACGCTATGATGTTAAGAAATTGGGGTTTGATTGAGTAATATTTTCCCTTCTTGTTACTTCTCCATATTTTCCAATTTTTCTAAATGTATACAATTTATACCATCAGAATTATAAACATTATTTTTTAAAAATAGTGACCTGCCATACAACTTTGTTAATATAGTTGGCATAGTGAAAAGAGCACTACAGACGGAGCAAGGAGACCTGAATGTTCTAAGAGAATCAGCTCCATCACTCAAGGACTGCTCAGTCATGAAAGTCATCAAGTTTCCTCAACTGCAAAATGAGAGGATTGAGACAGTGATCTTCCAGTTCCACAGAAGACAGCACGGCTAATGTGAACACTCCAGTGAATAACGGTGATGTCCTTGAGAATGTGTCATCTTGCAAACCTCCAGCTACACAGAGGAAGTGTAATTGACCACAGGGCCCACCTGCTGCTCTGAAATCCACTTATGCACCAAGGTCGCTTCCAGGCTGCTCTTGGCCAATGACAGAGCATGGCAGGCCACACCAAGGAGGCTCCTCTGATAGCTGACTTCGGCTCAAGGACTCGATGGTTTTGCTGAACCTTCCTCAAAGTGCATTACTGTCTTGGACATTTCCACCCAACCTTCCTTCCCTCTCTCCTTCACTCAGGGTCAGATTTGCATAGCGGTTGACGGCTCTCCAGACTTCCCTGGATCCTTCTCCATTTTCCTTTTTGCACATTAATCTCATCTTGGCATCTACTTCTCAAAGGACCTGGACTAACAAGCATGTTGGTAGTTCCACAAAGCACACCTGAGAAAGGCTGAAAAGGAGCGTCTCAGGTGGCATAGCTCCTCAGAGGACCTGGATGCCCGGTTAGTACTTTATTGTTGTTATTCTTTCCTTAAAAAAAAAGTCAATTGCCAGTCCGAACAGGGTAACATTTTATTGCTCTTAAATTTTTTTTTTAAATAAACCTTTCCTGGGCTTATTTTAGACTTGTTCTTGTTTCCTTCTCCCTATCAGCCATATGTATCTCTTCAGCAACTTCCGACTCCCCGCTTCAGATCAGATAATAAAGTTCATTCTTCATTTCTGTCATCTATAACATTAGAGGAATCTTCCTCTGAGAAGTAAAGTATAATTAATCACTTTCATCCCAGTGTGACCCCTTTCAATGGCTAAAGGACCGTGTCTTGCTAAAGTCCTCTTTTTTTGATGTAGTGGCCTTCTCCTTTCATAGTTCTTGGTTAGTTTTTGCCCACCTTAATAATTCCTTTATAAATGTCAACAATTCTGCCATTCCCTGACTCTTCTTCCTGCCTCTTCCAGGTTGAGGATATCGGAATCCAAAGTCTCCC